TACCTTGCATAAACATATGCTCGTATTTAAGGTTTTTATTTTGATTAAAGAAGATGGCCTCGGGATCTTCTAATATAGAACTTTAATTTGAGTTCTACCAATGGGTAGTTTGTCTTCATGTTGTACATGTCATGTTACCAATTTCACATTTACTTATTGTATTTTCTATGTAATACAGTTGTAAATTCCATTAAAATAATAAAAAAAATATATTTTGATTAGTTTAGTTCTTTTGTTTATATATATTTACTTTTAGTATTATTATTGTTCTGTATTGTTAATTTTTATTTATTGTAAATAGAGTGTGAATATGTGTTCTCTGAACCCTATTACAAATGTCCTTAATTGTGTCATATTGTAATATTTCAATGAGTATAAACAAAAAAAAAAAAAGAGATATATGTATATATATATATATATATATATATATATATATATATATATATATATATATATATAATAGAGATAAATAAGACTTCGATAAACAAAATACTAAAACGTATAAAATATTACTTATTTATAATTAGAAAATAGAATTTAACCAAATGAAAATTAAATATGAACATGAAGAGAAGGAAGGTTGGGGTGATCAGTCAGAAATAAAAAAGCAAAAATAAATAATAATATTTATTTTAACATTTGCAGACGTTTCGACTTGAAGTTCAGACCTTCATCAGGGCTAAGAAAAGAACCAGATAACATGATGAAGCCCTGAATTTCAGGTCGAAACGTCGGCAAATGTTAAAATAAATATTATTATTTATGTTTGCCTTTTTATGATCACCCAACCATCCTTCTCTTCATTATTCACGAAAGTCAATCACTAATCCACAATAATAAATATGAACACATTTATTGAGTTTAAAAAAAATAATTTTCCTGTTCAACACACTCCTGACGTTTGGCGCGTTCCTCCGGACTCAAATTCTCATTTTATTATTCATCCAATTCACCCATTAGTAATAACCTCATATAGCAATAACTATATATTTTTAAAAATATGTAAATATTTATTATGTATTCAACACCTGTCGATTAAATTTATTCAAAGTCGGAAAGTACTGCTTTAATTAACTTGAGTATCAGAGTTAATTTCCCTACGAGGCTAAAGGAGAGATTAATGGAATCTTAATTATCTAAAACAATTTATAGCCCCTCTTAGTATTTTTCAGGTTTTAATCATCTCTCTTAACTTTTTTTTTCAAGAAAGTTGTGTAAAGAACTCAAGATCAATATTTCATTTTCAGGTGCCAAGAACACCTTTTAATGTAATTACGATTCAGATGCAACATGACTTGACTGTACAGAATGATAATTAAGAGGGAAAAGTTAAGAAATATGTTTTAAGCACCAGTATTTTAATCATAGTTATAACTGTTGGTCTTCTACGCTGTCTTAAAGGGTTGTCAATTTTTTATAACTTGAGAATCGATCGCAGTAGCTGGCTAGTCCTAATCGACTAAATAATCGTAAATCGCAATAATGCTTTTATTACAATTCTCACAACAAAGCAGGCGTTTATAGCTGATGAAATAATATTTTAATAAATCGGTAGATGAATTTTATAGATGGTAAAATGCGGAATATATATCAAATAATGCCGTCAGATTTCAATATTGTGATATAGTGATTTTATTATAACCGTATATAGGGAAAAATATATACCTACTATATGATTGAAACCACTTATAGATCAAATGCTGACGTTAAAAGTTTATTCAATACACCCGCTTCATAAATTTTTATTCTATTAGTTTTTACTTCCCTACCTATACTAGGTAAGGGAAGTATTAGGATCGGATCAAATTTCCGATATGCTGTTTTCAACGGATCAATTCGTTTCAGATCCTGCTGAGTCCGAAAAAATATTTTTAGCCATTGGTCTGTCAGTCTGTCTGTGCCAAGATTTTCTCGGGAACTAGTTAACCGATTTTGTGGTACTTTGTAGGGTTTTAACTACTGATGCATATGACACAAACTGGTCACACCCTGCGCAATAAGTGAAAAACATATGTTTCTATAGAATGTAACGCAAAAATGGCTCTAACCATTTTGATGAAACTTTCCTGCAATATTCTCATAATGTCCTTTCAATTTTCGTAAATGTATTAATTTCCCGAGAAAATCGAGGAAAGAAGTTATAAAGAAAAGAAAAATGTTTGGGACCTAACTCGCTAAGTATATATTCTATGGTAAAATATAATATAATATAAATTTTGAAAGGTAATTAAATTACCAAAAAAAAAAAATATATACATAGGAATCGAACCAGTATTAGCGATGATACAGCGTATTCTATTTTCTACACATGTTTTGATTTATTACTTTCCTATCTATACTAGGTAAGGAAAATATTACGATCGGTCAAATTTTCGGCATGCGGTTTTGGACGTATCTATACGTTTCAGAGCATCCTGAGTCCGAAAAACAAACTTTTAGCCATTGGTCTGTCAATACTGCTCACTCTATTTAGTGTAAACACAAAAAATACCTGTTTCTGAAAGATAATGAAATTCTCTACAAACTATATAATAATCGTTCCTTTCGGACAACTATTGACGAAGTTGCAGCTATTAAAATTCCAATCTATGATTACGGGCTCATATGCTGGTGTCAGAAGGGATGAATGAGAGATATAAAAGAAAATTAAGTGAAAGTAAGAAAATCTGTGGTCCGCATCACACAAGTTTCACTGTTTCCTCTACTTTTAACATAAATTATTGTGTGACAAAATTAGGCTATGCCAAAATGTTTTTGATTAGCAATATTAGAGGGTATTGAAACTTTTACACTGATCTACCACGAGCCGGTTTACATTGCTTTAATATATCGAAGAAATCGTACTCAAATCTTTTATTTGATCAATTTTCAGAAAAATAAATCTAATTAATTTTTTTTTGGTTTCTTAATGGAAATATGTAAAGAAATAAAAACTTTTCTGAAATAGGTAGGAAAGTGTTGTGAGTGGACACACCACATTTTTTTTTCCTGTTTGTGCCTTTATTTTGTCATGTATGGGACAATCAGGAAATCTGTGAAATTTGTAATTAGCATTTCAAGCACAAAGAAGCAGTAACAAGCAGCATCTCTTCCTATTCTTAATTGAATTCAAGAAAGGAGATCTCTCATCCAGGTTCATTTCAATTGTCCTTTCTGATCGAGATGCCATAGCGATGTAGTTTGTTAGTCTGTTATTATGTCTGTGAAGTTTATTATTGAAGTGAAAATAAAGAATACATAGGTAAAAAAACGAAAAAAGTAATGCAATATTGAGCCATTAAAAAAAAGAAAGAATCACAATAAATGAACTATTTCATTAATTACGATTTTTATTTTATTCTCACTTCTAGTAGCGACTTTCCAAATATCTCGGTATCTCGAACAAGAGATTAGTTTTATTTTTTCCTTATTTTGTCTTTCTCCTCCAACAATATTTGATACGTTCATGATCGGGGCGCCGGTTAGGGCAGATATGTGATTGTGTTGTGCCGATAAGGGAGAGGGTGTAGACCCAATTATCTTGACTGATAGGGCTCTGCCACAATTGGCTCTTTCAATAGAGATATTCATTCATTTCCGCAAACAAACCGTAAATTCAGAGATGGGGGAACAATTGGTGAATTACTGTGCTCTTCGTATCATTTATTGGCTGTTTACGCAGAGGCCTCCCATTCACTACCTCACTTCGAAAATGTTCATCATTAGAGCTGTCTTTTTGAAAAATGTTCTTTAAACACCTCTTATTATATTGACTTTTTAGAAGACTTTTAAATATTTTCTTATAATCCAAATCCATATAATTATTGATGATTATCTGCTTAAGCGTTTATTATTGGAACTCAGCGCTCTCGATTAATCTCTACTGGCTTCAGTACCACTGATGTGGTAAAGATAATAGTGTAGGGATCTCCTGGTGTCCTGCTTTTCCTTCCTTTGTTGGATGGGGTTCATTTTAGATTAATAAGTTAATTTTAAATGTTATATTATATAAATTTTATAATTATAGTTAATTATAATTATATCATAAGTACTAGGGGGTACCCCTTTGTCCCCCTGGCGGCTGACCAACCCCCATTTTACAAATTGTATAGCTCTTCATTTAATTGTACTAGTCTATGCCAATTATATAAAAAAAAAATTGTACGACTCGTTGCTCAAATTGAATAACCGTAATTTACATACATTCTGCAGTTCAAATTGTATTATTTTTTATCAACATTAAATAGAAGGAACGAAACCACAGTTTGAATAAATTTTTAATTTCTTTAAAAGTCCATATTATAAATCGCGCCTTATAGCAAATTTATAATATAATAATTATAATTTTCTAATTGACACTCTGTACTCATAATTATCGAAAAATAATTCTAGGAATAAGGAGTGTGTTGTCTTCGTTAAGGTCCACCCCGTTTTGTATATGGAAAATAAAATATGACAAGGCCACTACATTTTTTTTTTTTATGTAATAGAGAGTTATATGAAACTTTTTTTGTGGATCTATGAGGTTTAGTGCTTTCCGGTGTAATTTATTATGAAAAGGATACTGAATTCACTTTACAGTGGAATTCAATGACATACTTTTTATTTTTACTAGATATACTTTTTTCGCATATTTACCATGTTTGTGTATCTCAGGCTTGGACAGGAAGGGCATGTTATTCTATGCAACCGACAATATTGGAACTAGAGAGAGATCTATATATGAACTAAGCTGATACGTTTTAGTTAATCAAACTATACATTATATCCCAAAATATTGTTGGACCTGCCGCACTAATTGTGAAGTTTGATAATAAGCAATGTCGTAGTGTATTTGTTTATTTATTCATTTCCATGTTTTAATTAAGCAAAACAGTTTTATAAAAAATAGCTGTATATTATAGCTTCAAATGATGGAAATGAAGAATCGATAAAGCAATAAATTTGGGTTTTTTAAAAAACCTGCTGGTTAGACCAGAAATATTAGCGAGGAAAGGAATTTACCGCGGAGTGAATATCTGATGTGCTTCAATAACGGACATGCTTTCATCGCCCTCAGGAGGTTTCATTACCACCGTCTGCCTCCTTTCATCTCCCCAAAAGCCTATAGCCATGAAGAGTTCAAAAAATCTTCATCAAAAGAGAAAGGATCTTTTGATGGAGCGTGTCAGAGGATATTCTGAATTCAAAGTCAAAGGAGAAGTATTTTGAATTAATTATTAGTTAATGTATTACTGTTATTATTATTGCCATACATAATATAAATACATGTTTTAAAATATAGCTAAATGGTAACGTTACATAATGAGCTAATGATAAAAATTAAGTTTACAGTAAATAACAGTAAAAAATGGCTCAAAGCAAGATGATAGTTAGGTATTGGTGAAAAAATCATGAACGGTTTTATTGAATTTTGTTAACTACTTTTTCTAATATATACGCGCAAATGTGTTTTACGTAGTTTGTCTATATCTCTAAAACCGCAAGTTCAATTTGGCACAAATTTGGAGGAAAGTTAAGGATTGGTAAACAGAGAATCAAGTATGAATGAATAAAAAAAATAAATAAAATAAATAAATAAAAGTTCCGCCTTCAGATCAGGGAATGTATTATTTGACACGTCTATAGTTCGAAAACTCCGTTCGATTTGACCCAAACTTGGAAGAAATTTGGAAAATAGTATAGAAATTACTAATTTAATTATTTCATGTAATTTCATTATATAATTAAAATTGATATAAATAATTGTTAACAATATATTGGCTATGCAATGTGGAAGGCATTGATAATATGGAGTGGGAGCTAGGTTAATATAATATTTTTATGGTGTTATAAAATTTTAGGTTTTATTCAAAAAGTTAATTTATACTGTAACGATTCCAAACGTTACTGCCCTTGCATGACACTTCCTGCCCTTACTAATATTTCGTGTAATGTTCAGTAATTTTTTTTTTTTTTTACTAACGAAATTTACAACTGTAATTAATAATAAATACAACAAGTAAATATGAACAAGTAATATGACATGTACAACATGAAGAGAAACTACCCATTGGTAGCACTCCAATTATATTTCTATATTAGAAGGTCTCGAGGCCATCTTCTTTTCAGTTTATTCAATATTGTTTCAAGTTTATTATAAAAGGACAGGTATCTGGATTGAGTTAAATCGGAAACATATGGTACATTAAGTTCTTTATGGATGATTTTATTTGTGACAATGTAGGGAGCATTGAGGATTTTACGAAGGATTTTGGATTGTAGGGATTGGATACGAGAGGAATTCAATGGTTTAGTAGAGCCCCAAAGCTCAATTCCGCAAGTTCAAATAGGCCTTATTATAGTAATATATATGAGTCTTTTGTAAATAATTGGCAGTTTAGAGCGCAGTAAATTTAAATTAATTTTTACTCTGAGTTTGTAAAAAAAAACTTTGTGATTGTGTCTATTTCTATTGAAGTTCAGCCAGCTCGTCGTGGTCTTGATTTCCTTCTTAAACCTCAAAGTTTTGTGAACTTCGCACATATATTTATATTAGAGTTAATTCCGAACAAACAATAAGTTGAATTTTTTCTATTAAGTATATATCACTAATGTTAGTGCAAAAGGTATTAGTTTGTAAATATTTTCAACTTTTATTCTATTTGTGTTAAAGATGACATTTTGTAATCTGCAACTGATATAAGCAGTCTGCTACGGTGGAAACTAGCAGAGAGCAATAAAATATTAAGTCATACTAATAAATTATATAGAAACAATTAGTTATTATGTTCTCCTGTAAAATCTTCTATTTTTACATACGGTCTTTTGCACTAACATTAATGATATATATTTAATAGGAAAAATTCAACTTTTTGTTTGTTCGGAATTAACTCTAATATAAAATCTGAGTGAAGTTCACACAACTTTGAGGTTTAAGGAGGAAATCAAGACCAAGACGAGCTGGCTGAACTTCAATCGAAAATAGACACAATCACAAATAAGAATTTGTTTTTTTTAAAAATTAATGCTCAAAATTTTTTTGTTTTTTTTTCAAAATTAATGCTCAGTATGCACTGGATTTTTTTTTAATCATGAATCATCAAATATGCAATCTGCAAATGCAGAACTCTTTTATATTTTAGTAATCAATGAACAAAACTCGTGGATATCAAACCAGAGATCTTATTCTCATACAGAAAATTGTAGATCTCGTAATATGGATAAATTTTATCCGATAACAACGGTAAGGAAGCTATACTGACCTTACTTGGTAGACGTTTTTCAATAATTAACAGTTAATACTGGAAAGTGTTTTACGTAACACCTTTGACAGATAACTTAAAAGGCCAAGGGGATGAGCTACCTACTGCCTTAGTCAGCAGTTTGTGAATTTTTAACCGTTATTTCCTCCAGCTCCTAACGTTTTCTCATGACTTGCTGGGCTTTCAGTTTGTTTATCAAATCTTAATCGAAGTTCATTGAATTATTTTATATTTGTTTTTATAACCGAAAATTAAATTGATAGCGCTTATAGTTCTAAAATGTTAGGATAAAAAATAATGCTGTTTTGGAAATTTTAATTGCTCTAAATGTTTTCCAGCACGAAACTACGACGTGCAATTTATGTTGAACGTCCAATTAGCTGCGTTTGCATTAGTACGAGCTGAGGCCTTATCTCTGGATCAAGACTTCCTTGTACGACACGGGTTTACGTCGCAATCCTTTTAACACATTCTTTCTCTCACCGCCACGTTCCTCTTTAGTCCCGGCTATTAGAACGGCATGTAATAGTTCAAAGGGTGCAGTCTAATCTATCCATTATTTTGTAACAATAGTTCACATTTTTTATGTTATTAAATGTATCAAATTAGTAGGGCAGATCAGTGAGTAAGGCACTATGCTTCAATTATGGTCCCCGTACACTGGGGTTAGCTAACGCTTTGTGTTTCGTGTAAAATAATTATTTCACGCAATGTATATATTTGAAGTATAAGTATTTCACCTAAAATAAATATTGTAAAAATATTCAGAGTAGATACCAATATAATGTTAAAAATCCACGTCTTGTGTTTTATATTGTAAACATTATATTGCTTAGATATTATATAATTTATTATCTATTTCATAGCGACCTATTATATTAAATTTTAATATATAAAGTTACATGTATGTAATAATAAAAATAAATTCAACATTTTCACGTGTTAATAAATCCTCAATAACTTACGAGGTAATAGGTTCGTGCAAGGTCCGAAAACTGTTTTGGAAGTTCAAACCTTTAAGAATAGGATATATCTGTTTTTTTCGGGTGATTTGCGAAATAGACCAAAATTGCTTTCAAATGCTTGAAATATCGTAACAACTATGTATATATTTAAAAACCGATGTTTCAGCTGTCTTAGGATTCAATAAAAGCCCCTAATTTTGGCCAGCACATACGTTTAGGTTTGAGAACAAAAATCCAGCTCTAAATATAAAAAAGATGGTTTCCATTTCGTCACCTATTATCTCACATTAGGACATTATTAATGCAATAATTAAGTTAAAAATTACTGAGCATGAAGGGAAAACAATATTAGTTTGTCACTAATACACTATAACTCCCAAATTGTAACTTTTATTTTTTCTGCCAAAGTCCAATCGTTGCGTTAGCTCTGACCCCACTGTGCCCCGGTTTGAGTCCAGCTGTACAAATAATTAATTATTCCGTTGTACTAGCCATGGATCGATCCTGGAGTTTTGAGACCCTCGTGCGTGGTGGTTACCCTTAATTAAATTGATGTTTAATTGATTCAGAAAGATAACTTGATATATTTAATCAAGATCCAACTTCTATAATGTGGTTGCTTTTAATTAAATAACTAATAAAGTGGAAAATTAAACTCAGAAACTCAGTTGAGCGTGATGTAACTAAAATCATCTCTATTGGCATTAGTTATAAAGTATTAAATCAAGATCCTTCAGAGTTTATAGAGAAATAGATTTTTTTAAATTATTATTATTCTCTTTTTAAATTAATTATTTAAGACCTACCAGCAATATCGAAGTACTTAATGATATAATGAATATAAAGGTGTGTTGACACGTTTCATAAACTATGGGAAACAAAAATATTTAAATAGTTTTTCCTAGTATTTTTTTCTTGTTTTTGATGCTCCCATTTGCTGTCGGTAACGAGAGAAATAAAAAAAAAGTTTGGGTAATGTCACTATTAATTAAGTTAAGTAATAATATTTCCCATAGTTAATAAGCTCTCCTCAATTGAAAAAAAAATTGTAATGCAGTCCAGTAAGAAAAACTATATATATAAGTGTTTTAATGTGTGCCTTAACTTCGTCTAATTTGAAGGCTTTCATCAGGTCTAAACAAATCATATTAATTATACAATTATGCTCGAATAAAACTATATGAAAATCATTACACATTTTTATTTTCTGTTATTCATTGATGTTGATATACCTAATTCTTGTAGTATATGACATATATTATACGGGGAGTGGTGTTGCTGAGTGGTACGGTGCTGAATTCCAATGCTCAAGGTACTAAATTCGAATTCAGCTGATGACAGATAAATGATTTATTCTGAATCATCGGCTGTGAATCGACCCTCGACCGTCGAGGACTCTCGTGGGGCACACCCGGCCTCAATGACAAGTGGGTACCCTTAATTAAGGTATAATTAAATTAATTGATTAATCGTCTTTTTTCACAACCGTTGAGCAAGAAATAGTGCTTCATTGAGTTGAAGTGCTACAAGTTTTTTCAAGCATCGATAAGAAGACTTTAGCAAAGTTTCATTGGAATCAGTACATTTGTTTAACCGCTACAGTCTATAGCAACACAGGTTTTTCGGCCGCCATCTTGGAAGGAAAAAGTGGATATTAATGTCGATGTAGGAAGTTCATCATCGGGTGACCTCTGATTTTAAATCAAAATTTGAAAAAAAGTTGGTCTTGTTAGGAGAAAATGTGCGGTCGGCGGACGGACAAGAGAAGACGGTAACAAGAAAGGTAAAAAAAAAGGTTTAAGCACTATTGTCTCGATTAGTTATATTAAATAATAATGTTTCCCGTAGTTTGTGAAATGTCTAAGCTCTCCTCAATTAAAAAAAAAAGGTTTTTGTAGTACAGTTGTACAGTCCAGAAAGAAAAACCATATATTCGGTCTAATTCGGAGGCCTTCATTAGATCTGAACAAAACATATTAACTTAGCAATTATGCTCGTACATGATTTGAAAATTATTAAATTTTTTTTTTCTGTTTTATTGTATATTATCATTCACTGATTATTGATATGACTAATTCTTGTAGTATATTTCTTATATTATTCGAGGAGTAGAGTATTTCAGTGGTAAGGCGCTGAATTCCAATGCTCAAGGTACTAGATTCGAATTCAGCTGATGGCAAATAAATTATTTATTCTGAATCATCGGCTGTGAATCGACCCTCGACCGTCGAGGACTCTCCTGGGGCACACCCAGCCTCAATGACAAATGAGTACCCTTAATTAAATTAATTGATTTATCGTGTCTTTGCACAACCGTTCACTAAGAAATGGTTCTTCATTGAGTTGCGTAGTGCTACAAGTTTTTTCATATCTTATTCGTTCGTTAATTTATCATTATTTTCTTACAAAATTATTTGTCACTTATTGGTGCGTTTTTTTCTCAGCCACGTTCTGCTGCTCCTAGAACTAGTTATTTGGTCAGAAATACCTCAATTCGTTATGAAATGTCCAGTTTAGACAATGAGAACGATTGAGTCCTTATACAATAACGTTTGCTTTGCAAGCTCTCCTATTAAGAATAACGAGACCTGGAGAGAACAAAGGACAGTGACCACCCGGCCATGAGATTGGACAAGAGAAGAGACATGGAGATGAAGGACTAAGACGGAAACATAAAGAGTCGCTCGCTCCGGAGGACACAGATACGGCCATCTCCTCCCCCCTTTGTAGGCTACTCCCGGCCCAACAAGACCCCCAGGGCATCAACAACGAGTTTAGTTATCACTCTTTCCTTTCCTTTTCCATCTCATTTGAGATATTTTTTATTCCTCATTCTACAAAAATTTACTCGCTGAGAAGTATTTTCTGCATAGTATGGGGACGATTTTATTTATTTATTTTAATCTTCTACTCCATTTGCACTTGCTTATTAGCTGATCTAGCAAATTCAATGTGTACAAACGCTTCAAATTAATTCACAATGGTATGCTATTTACAAACATTTATACATCTACAATACCATTACCTTCCTAGTAACAAAGACAAAGAAATAAAAGGTGATTCCTATTATTGGCCAAAACAATTTTTTTTTCATCATTAGTAAGTTGTTAAAAAAAATAGCATTACTTTAGTAACCCTTTCAAAAATCAAAAACCAAAACAAAGTAAACTTTGCAGTAAGATATATAAAAAATATCCAGATAGCATATCTTCGCTCCAAATTGTCCGATTTTATAATTTTTTTTAAGCATCGATAAGAAGACGTTAGCCAAGTTTCATTGAAATCAGTACATTCGTTTAACCGCTACACTGTATAGCAACATAGGTTTTTCGGGCGACCTCAGACTTTAAATCAAAATTTGAAAAAAATTGGTCCAGTTAGAAGACAACGTGCGGACGGCGGATGGACAAGAGAAGACGGTAACAAGAGAAGTTAAAAAAAAACAAAGGTTTAAGCGCTATTGTCGCTATTAGTTATGTTAAATAATAATGTTTCCTATAGTTGTGTCTAAGCTCTCCTCAATTAAAAGATATCTGGTGTGTCCACTCACACGACTTTCCTACCTATTTCAGACAATTTTTTATATCTTTACATATGTTCATGAAGAAACAAAAAAGAATTGAACTAAATTTATTTTCCTGAAACTTGATAAAAAAAAAAAGATTTGAGTACGATTTATTTGATAAACTAAACTACATATAACTATATAACTACATATAAACTACTTTCACTTAGTAATCTTTATTCTCTCATTCACCTCTTTCTGACACCAGGAAATTGAATAGCTGTAACTTCGTCAATAGTCCAAAATGAACGATTTTTATATGGCTTTGTAGGGAATTTTATTACCTATTAAAATCGTTAGAGCTGTTTTTGCACTACAGTCTATACAAAAATATGGTTTTCATTTATTCCGCGCAAGCTATTGCGTATGGAGCAAACGAATTTCTGCCACAGGAATCAATAGTCAAAACCCTACAAAATAAAGAAAGAAGCAACAAAATGGGTTCAGTACTTCCCGAGAAAATCTTGGCAGACAGACAGACCATTGACTAAAAATGTATTTTTCGGACTTAGGAGGCTCTGAAACGTATAGATCCGTTGAAAACCGCATGTCGGAAATTTGACCCGATTGCAATACTTTCCTTACTTAGTATATGTCGGAAAGTAAAAAAATGTTTTTGTAGTACAGTACAGAGAAAAACATATATAAGTGTTTTAATATGTGCCGAAATTTCGGTGTAATTTGGAGGCCTTCATTAGATCTAAACAAAACATATTAACTATTTAATTATGCTCGTACATGATTCGAAAATTATTAATTTTTTTTTTCTGTATATAATCATTCGCTGATTGTTGATATAACTAATTCTTATAGTACATTTCTTATATTATTCGAGGAATAGGGTATTTCTGTGGTAAGGCGCTGAATTCAAATGCTCAAGGTACTAGGTTCGAACTCAGCTGATGGCAGACAAATTCATGAAATGAGTCATCGGCT